CCCCAAAACCCCAAAACCCCAAAACCCCAAAATAGTAAAATAACTTTGTATTAAAAGTTCGTTTCATAAAATCATAAATTAAGAATTAAATATATATTTTAAAACTCTAAACTCTATTAAGGTATTAAAGGGATATTTATTGACAGTAAATTTATGAAGTTTTCAATCATAATTATTGTAATTGGTGAGAATTTTATCTAATATAGTCCTAATATTTTTTAACTTATCCAAGTTCACTAACTCTCTTATTTATCGCATTAAGTTCTTACTATTTTAGGCTTAATCGATTTGATGGAGAGCAGAAATTTTTCAGAAGTGAAGATTTCATGTGAGTTGACTATGCTTTCATATCTTTGCCCTTATTTGCTGATAATGCTTGCGTACTGCTTTTATGATTTCCGAAAGAACTTACTTTCATGGTATTGATGTTTAATGGGGATGTTCCCATATTTCTAATACTAGTTGACCCTCTTCTCAATTTTTCTCTTTTAGGCTTCTTCTGCACTGTCAACTAATTCCTACCAGATAGTTAAGGCTCATGATATTTCAAATTTTCTCTCATTATCGTAGTATTTGAATGCACAGGTTTTATTTTATTCAAAGGAGTAGTGACTACATTTATATTTAGCTATAGCTACATTTTCTCTCTTATTCCACCTTTTTATGATGATTAAGATCTTCGGATAGTTTCTGGACCTTGTTCTGATGATTTTTCAGACGAAAATGACCTGTATGTACTCATATACTTTGAATTTTCATCATACCCTTTATTAATCGAATTATCCCTGTTTACTTTTACCAAATCTATCTTTAACCTTTCACTTAGCTTTAAAGCATTAGCAGATAAATTGGATGCATTCGATACCTATTTCTTGAACTTTTTATTCACACTAAGTCTACTAGTATCTATTTAATCCTTTTAAATTGGAGGTAAAGGCGGTCTGTATGATGGTATCTGCTAAATTTATTATTTTTATATTTCAAGCTTTGGATATTTTCTTTCGGAAATTTGATTTTAAACTTATTGTATGGAAGTTGGACATCTTTCTTTGTATTAGTTAGTAAATGTCATTTCAGAATTAGGCATCATATTGAACTTTGATAAATCTAATTGTTAAATTCTAGCTTTAGCTATTATATTTCTGATACCTTGTTTTTGAATGGGTGGAAGAGTAATATTCTGCAATGATTAGTTTTATTTATCAGATTATGGTCTTTCATCTAACATGAGGACTACAGCCTTATTTTCTCTTAATAGACTTATAATTTAACTATTTTACAATGAGCTATTTAGAGTTTTATCCATTTCTACCCCTCCACTTTCATTTCTTGAACCAAGTGCAGATGATACCGTTTTAAATTTTTTCTTATCTACTTTCATGTTACGTGATTGCTTTTTTAAGATTTTGATATTTTGATGTTTAAAAATTTTGAAATTTTAAAACAGAGTTTTTACCCTTTAAATCTCATTTTATCAGTACTTTTTGTATATTTCAACTGCAATTTAAGTTAACTTCTTCCAAAACAATTCTTTAACTTCTTCAATTTCCTTTTCAAGTTAAAGTTATAGCTAATGCTGCTATTGTTGTACTCCGATACTAAAAATTTTTAATGCTATTTTTTCTTGAATAGCATGCTTCATGTATTCTCCTAGTTTTTTTAAATAAGGATTTCTTGCTGATTCAACTCTGGGTTAGCTCTCCTAAAGAGTCGATACTAATATCAAAGGAACATCAAATTAATTAGCCCTGTATGATTAATGGAATTTTTCAGAAATTACTGCATCATGATCATCATCAGAATCCTTAGATTAATAATATTCTTTTATCTATGCTCGTAATGGATTTATATTACCATGCTATTAAAGTTTTCCTAGTGAACCGACTCTATCTCTTCCACCAAACATTGAAAATTCATGCATTATCTATTGCTGGTTCTTGTGCTCTGACGAGCTAGTTTACCTTGGCTGCTTATTTTTCTCCCCCTAAAATCTTCTTGAAAGTCTAGTATTTTGTTATTTCGATTATTCCTATGAGAGTCTCTTTTTAATAGAGGGAAGATTCATTTCTTCTATATTGTGACTGTCAGAACTTTTAAATTTCGACAGTCCTGGTTTAGAACTCCCTTTTTTCTAATTAGTAATTTGCTCCTTGGGTTTTCGATTGACGAAAAAACAGGCGTTTGAAGTACGTCTATTCCCACCACTCACCCCAAAACGAGCTGCCATTGTTTTTAATTTTATAAAATTATATGTTATAAGAATGAGAACTAGTTTCTAAGATTTAATCCTTATATTCTAGCAAATGGGGTTTTGGGGTTTTGGGGTTTTGGGG